CACCCAATTTGTACAAACCGTGCAAACCTCATTCAACCAATCATAATTTTTCATTTTGTTCATTTTTTTGTAATTATGAGAGGTTGATTAACCATTTTCATTGAGGATGGTGTTAATCATGGATATTATCATTTTCATTATTTTAATTTTAGAGAAATACATGAAACAGTTTCATTAAAATTTCATTAAATATTATATGAAACAATTTCATAACCATATATGAAACAAATTCATCAAAAAAAGTATTATATGAAACAATTTCATAACCATATATGAAACAAATTCATCAAAAAAAGTATTATATGAAACAATTTCACAAGATTAAACAATTTTATGAAAAAATTTCATAAGATTAAATAATGAAAGCGACGTATGAGGGTGGTTTGTACGGTTTGTACAAATGAGGGTGATTTTCATTTGATTGCTCCTCTACATATATATATATATATATATACACACAGAGAGAGAGAGAGAGAGAGAGAGAGAGAGACGAGTTCATTTGAGAAGCTAAGAAGCGATCTTAGCTCTTCATCTAGCCAAGATTTGCGGCTTTAACTGTGAAGCACCGGATAATTTCTCGTATAGTATGCGGAAGATAGAGAAGTAGTTTCGTAACTGTTACAAATAAGCGGCAAAACAAATGTATATGTGAAATCATGTGATTCACATATGAATTGCATGTTCATATTTGAACCCATGTAATTCATATATGAATTATTTAACTGATTCACATATAAACCTGTATGATTCACATATAAACCTGTATGATTCACATATGAAACTTGTGTGATTTACATATGAACCCATGATTCACATATGAGCTAACTAACTGATTCAAAATGAACTATGAGTTCACATATGCATTTATGGATTCATATATGCACTTGTTTACCATCTATTTATAAAAATTACAAAATTACCCCTCTATTTTCAATTGACTAGTCAAAACCGTAAATCTTGACTAGTTAAAGTCACAAATCTTGACTAATCAAAACCATGCAGTCAAAGTTGCAATTTTTGACCAATCATGATCGTATGAAGGAGCTAAAATCACTTATTTATTTCTTAAATGAACATCTCCATACACACACACACACACACATATATATATATATATATATATAATGTTGAGTTCCGATAAAAAGAAGAGTTAAGGGGAGAAGCGTAAAAAGGGATCTCACCTTGGATGCACATTAGGATGAAATGCACCGATTTAATTCCCATATCAAACACGATTTATGGGTCGGGTTGAGATTAAGGGGGTGTTTGGGATTGCTTATAAAAGAAGATTTTTAACTTATTTTAGTCTGACACCGGTGATAAGCTGTTTTTTGGTGTTTGGATAAGAAAAAAAAACTGTTTATACCGGTGTCAAACCGGTAATAAGCTGTTTTTGATAAGTTAATTCTTCCTGACTTATGAAAAACTGTTTATTATCAGTTTATAATTTTAACAATGTTTTATTTAACTCCGGATTGATACCACATAAGTTAATAAACACTTTTACAAAAAGATAGCAATCCCAAACACCCCCTAAAAATGATCAAAGGTACAGATCCCTTCTTACGTTTTTTATGTTAACTCTCCTTCTCAAACAATCATTCGACTATATATTTTATTTATTTGTTTATGATGATGTAATATAACTGGATATAGATAGTTACCGCCGCACCACCTCTTCATTTCTTATTGATTGTCGCCATTTCAGATGCCTCATCCATGATTCCTTTTACACACACCTTATGTATTTATGTGTATATATATATTGTATGTATATATAAATATGTTTATCGTCGTTTTCATCTTCATCATATCAAACTCAACAAAAATGGATGAGAGAGCAGACTCATCGGAAAATCACATCAGCCATTTCAATGGCGGCAACTACATGTTCCAAGGGGATTTCATGCCAGAAACCGAATTCGACAATTTCATTTCAACCATTCGAACCGAGACTGCAGATCCTATTGAAAAATTCTGTTTCGACTACGAATGCAATCACTTTACCAACTGCTGCACCGATTTGCAACTGCCGCCAACGTCGTACGGTCTCAATCAATCCGTCATTGCCGGTGCCGGTGCTTGTACTGAATTTGGCGGTTACGATGCGATGGATCCGAATGTGAATCTGATTTGGAACCAGGAAGGGGATCAGGATTTGAAAGGTTCTGACGTTTACGGAGATGATCATTCGTCGGAGACGGCTACCACCGGAAATCCAGATACGCCAGGAAGGAGCGGCGGTGGCACGAAGACAGATCGGTCGAGAACTTTGATTTCCGAGCGGAAGAGGAGAAGCGGAATGAAGGAGAAGCTCTACGCGTTGCGTTCGTTGGTACCTAACATCACTAAGGTTCGTCGCTAAAAAAGCTATTCGCGACGGACGTTTTCGTTGCTAATTATTTTGCCACTGAAATAATATGCTGACTTGGCATTCTGAAAAGTCAATCTGCTTACGTGGAATATACCTATTGAATTGTTCAATTATTTCAATATATACCCACTAAAAATGACGCAAATTTGGTCATTTATATCATATTTGGTTGATTTTCTTTAATAAATTTTTATATCGATAGCGAGTCTGTAATATTTTTTAAATAAAAGTAACGAATTTTGTCCGTATACAGATGGATAAAGCTTCGATAGTCGGAGACGCTGCACGATACATTCAAGAGCTTCAAACGCAAGCGAGGAATTTAAAGACCGACATTGCAACAATTGAAGCTGCGAAAGACCAAAAATCATCATCCCAAAATTCGAAAAAGATTCAGAAATCGAGATCATTTCCGTTATTGAAGAAGATATCTAAGGTCTCGAAGAATGTTGTCCTTTAATAAAACATTTGAAATGATATATATATCCAACGCTAACTTCAATTTTTTTTACGGGATTAAATTTAGATGGATATGTTTCAAGTGGAGGAAAAAGGATACTATGTGAGACTTGTCTGCAACACAGGACAAGGTGTCGCGGTGTCGCTCCATAAAGCACTCGAGTCGATTACGAGCTTTCAGGTCCAGAGCTCGAATCTTGCAACTGTTGGTGATAGTTTTGTCTTGACTTTCACCTTAAACGTAAGCTACTTTTCATATTATAGAAGTTTGTTTATTTAAGACGGGTAATTAATTTCCGTGGGTATGAATCTACAGGTTACAGTGTGTGAATTTGACATAAACCTGCCAAATTTGAAGCTTTGGCTTGCGGGGGCTTTTCTTAACCAGGGTTTCGAATTCACAACGTTTCCCTCAGCCTAAAAAAACATGACGAATACGGAGAGTGTGAGTATTTTTATTCGCTCTCACACACGCACGTGTATCAGGAGTTAGTTTTCATGATTTCAGTTTTAATTAAAATGTATCAACTACGACATGTAATATTTTTTAACAAGTAATGTTTTAATTACCACCCGTGTCTCGTAGTGTTTTATTAGACATGTGGTTTAAGGAAAGATTAACTTTTTTAATGTTGAATTGAATCTTTAAATTGACTTGAAAATGACTAATAACAATAAAACATTGAATGGATTACTCGCGTTTAAGAAATAAACGAGTGATGACTCGGCCTAATGATATGTTAAACATCATATTCAAATTGAATTCAATAACAGATCTAAAACCCTCCAGATCTTCTAACTTGACGATAAACCAACATTGCATTAGTCGAAACACAAAACAGGTTCTATAAAAACGTAAATCGTTGGATTGTCAATTGACGATATTGTAGTTCCAAAGTAAATAAGCAGTCAAAAAAGACATGTTGGACAAGCATTGCAGAACAACCTGATACATAACATATACGTTTAGAAATACAGCTAAAACATATTAGATTCGTTTAGGAATGGCAACGGGTCGGGTTCGAGCCGGGTATTGGAATCCTGTCCCCGAAACCGATAGCTAAAACCGTCCTCGAAACCGCTCCGATCCCCGTCGGGGATCCCCATTGGGTCCCCACAGTTTATCCGATCCCCATTGGGAACCCGTTAAGGGTAAAAATCCTCTTTTTCACTATAGATTATAACCGAACTCGAAAATGATCTAAAAAAATTACAATATATTAATTTTCACAATTAAAAGTAAATTACAATTTTTTTAAAAATGTAAGTTTAAATGTCTCAAACATAATCGAACCAATTACAAACAATGTATTAAATTACAATATAAAACTAAACAAAAATTCAAACAAATACAACTAAAATCACGATTTTATACAAATAAACTAGACTTTTTCGTGAAATTTATTTGGGTTGTTGAGGTAAAATGGATAAAAGTCTTTTAATTTTTTTTAATAATAATATTATATATACATATATATATATATATACACATCGGGCCGGGCCGGGCCGATGATCACCGTCCCCGTTAAAATCCCCGATCCCTGCCCCGTCACTGATAAGATGTCCCCGAACCCGACCCGAAAGTTTCGGGTTTCGGTTTTCATCATCGGTTTCGGTTTTTTTGCCATTCCTAGATCCGTTCACATTAAAAAAAAAACCTTTTACATTTTATTTTATTCATCCAATTTATTTATTTTTACCAAATTAAAGGATGATAAAGTATTGATGGTAGTAAATTGTTGTTGGTGATTTGGGATCATTGAAAATCTTGAGTAAATTAAACAAATTGGATCTAGATTTGATTCTATGAATGTGATCCTATCAATTTGGATAAACAATGATTAAGGCATAAACAACGTTTTAATTCAACTTATTTCCTCTTTAATTAATGAAATTCAGATGTTTAATTGGATAAACCGATTTCATTCTTATTAATTAATCAAAATTGCAAAAAATCTTTTAAAATACGTCATTTATAATGGATTTAATTTTGTTAAAAAATAAAATGTGTTTATTTAAATAGAAAATTAATAAAATAACTATTAAACATTATACCAAAAATAAACACTAATCGCCCTCAGTTAAAACATGTTAGATTCCGACCATGTTTAATACGGGTTATTGTTGTCTGATCTGGTTGTTTAATTTTTTTTTAAACTAGACCGAAAGTGACGTTTTGAAAAAAATTCAAGCAACGGGATTTGAAATGAATTATCGAGACCGGTCAAAATATATCAGAAAAATATGGTTTGCTCTGACGTTGTGATGGGCTTTATAGTTTAAGTTAACTTTGTGGTAATACGGTCAACTAAGCCTTATTTAGCTACTACAGGAGCAACTGTTCATGGACATTATGGGGAAATCATTTACGAAGGAGATACATTAGTTACATTTATATATGAAAAATCAAGATCTGGTGATATAACGCAAGGTATTTCAGAAGTGGAACAGATATTAAAAGTGTGTTCGATTGATTCAATATCGATGAATCTTTAAAAGAGGATTGATCTAATAACCTATAACCAATGATGATCGAAAAGGGGCCGGTCGTTCAAATTAATATATGGTTTATAATTTGTTGTTAGGATTAGGGAATATTTGGGTTTTGGTCAACATTATAACACCAAATTTGGTATCATACAATGGATTTACATAAATTTGGTGTTAAACTTTCTTTAATTACCATGTGGTCCATAATGGCTTCTGTTCATGTGATCTTAGTTTATTAGAGTGTAAATAATATTATGGTTATAATATTTGAATCTTCTAGAACCCTTTTGGTCTTTGTTTAGTTTCTCTTTCTTTACTATACTGTGAATGTAAAAAAAAAGTCGAACATTCACAGCAAAAATACTGTGAAGATTACCTTCACAGCTTTTTGGTATGAAGTTTCAAGTATAAAATAGTGGTCTCACAGATCTCACAAAAATAAACTGGTCTTACATAATCTCAAGTCTTTATATCATTATATAAAGTTTAAAAATATATAAATGAAAGCTTTTATAATATAATTTTTTGGACTATAGATTTTCATATTCATCCTCTATGCTATGTTTGTTGCCTATATGTATATAATGTGTAATATAAATATTTTTATATTTGGCTTAGAGGTCGTTTACCAAACACTTACTCAGTAAACATTTACCGGTAAAATTTAACACTATCATTTACTTATCAGATAAGATTTTATTCCACCAAAACGGTATTGTATGAAACAATTTACCCGTAAGCGCTTACCGTGGTAAGAGTCGTCGCCTTCACCTACCAGGTAAGGCTTTTGGTCCTTATCTCGCTCTTACACTGGTAAGATTCTTGATCCTTACGATATTCATCCGGTAAGGTAAAATGACTTGGTGTCACTTACCCGAGCAAGCGTTTGGTAAACTAATGGTTTTATTTGAGGATAGAAATATGTTTTGGGGGCTTCTATCAAGTATAATGAGCAAAATGCATCAAAATGTAATAAAGTTGATTTCATTCCTATTTAGTGTAACGCAAATTTTTTTTGTCAATCAATGTAACGAACTTTCAAAATTTGCTATTTTATACCCATTTTACCCTTTAAGCCGGTTTAAATCCTATGTGCCTCTGGTTAATTTTGGCATGCTACTTTTTTCTAATATATATTCCACGTGAGCATGCCCGTATAGATATTTAACATTACCCGCATCTGTATCTCCGTACTAAAATGAAACCAAAATATCTAATTTACTACCTCCAACTTGTATGGAATTGAAGCAATGTGATCATCGCTATCTTGTCGGAGCTAATGAACGATCAAAGTCTTAGAGAAGGAAGATGACACATTGTAACTCCTAGTTCATGCATTTCTATGCCACAAACGAAAGGGGATGCAAGCAAGGCACGTATTCTTGTATTAAAGAAATAGAAGAGCACTCAACGAAACAATGCAGTAACACCGTTCAAGCAAGTAATGGTTTTTCCATTACGATAGAGTCGTGAAGAGGTGATCCATGCCACCAAATGCCCTTAATTAAGTAGGTCCAAAACCGTTATCAGTATTAAGGTTCACAGTTCTTCTTTTCTTGTGTTGCAAGTAACCATTTCAAGTAAGTAACCCATAAAGTGATTTGAAGAAGCAAAGTGATTCAATGGGATGAGACAACATACAATATAAGGAGTGATGGGATAGTCACGGGGTCAAGTTTGGATCGGTGTGGCCGTGTGGGTAGATCAGCCATTAGGCCATAAGTGGTTTGACCCAAAAGTTAATGAAAACTTACTTATGTCACGTTTGGTTTGTAGGATTGAAATGGATATAAAGGGATTTAGAATTGAATTTCATTCCAATCCCATGTTCGGTTTGAAGGATTTGTAGGAGTTGAAATCCCGAGATCTCATTGAAATCCTATAAACATAAGATTTTGAAATCCCACATAGTGGTTGATATTTCACGAGATTTTGTAGGATTTATAGATAATAATGTTTTAAAATACATGAAAAACATTTCTTTTGTAATAATCATGTAATAAAAAGATAATTTAATTGTTTTTATATTTATTTATAAATTTTTTATAATGTATTTAGATAAAGAATGGAATTTGATCCCATTCCAAATCCTACAAACCGAACACATCAAAAATTCCAAATTTTTTCAAATCCAAATCCCTCCAATTCCAAGTCTTTCCACGAAATCCAAATCCCTTAAAACCATTCCATCAAACCAAACGGGACCTTAGTTAGGTGTTTTTAATCCCTTTTTCTTTAATGTTGGATTTTAGAAAAGCATGTAGAGTTCAACCGCAATATATACAAAAACAAAAGTTTCAGCGAAACCCTAAAATCAGAAGTAAAAATTTGCACCCATAAAACTGCTACTTCTAATGAGAGAAAATAGGGACTTAAGATAGGAATCCAATTAAAGTACGTTATTTTTTCGTGTAATTTGTCATATTTTATATTAAAAAAAACTTAAAATTGTATCAGGATGGTAAATATATAGAATATTTTTATGACATAATGTATTTTAGAAACTCTAAAATAGAAAATCTAATGAAGTTAAATATAATTTTTTATGAAGATTTTAATTTTTAATTCTTTATTTAAAAAAAAATATAATAATGAAACCGTGTAATGTATGGGGCTGATTTTCATTTTGGGTTTATAACTGAGCCCATGAATTCCCATTGCCAATTGCCAAAACAGTTGTCATTTGGGTCGGAATTCTTTAAAACGGGTTGTCCAGTTTATTTTTTCATGGTGAAACTGAAATATGTTTAAATATACCTAATTAATTGATATATTTATAGAAACGATGAGAGTTTGTTTATTATGATTTAGATATATTTGAAAGATTATTAAAGTTCAGTTATTAAGATCCACGTTTTATATTAGAAAACAATCAAGATATTCATTGAATCAAATATTCATTAGACTAAATGAACGGTTGAATATGGGAATTTCTGTCTAAATATTAAAATAAATTGGAGAAAAAAACAGGTTTTCTGGTCTTTTGAAAATGATATAAATATTTTGAGACGGAAAGAAAAGGGTCGAGCCATCATTGAATGGGTAGTGGCAAGATGAGTCCAAATCCAGAAAACAAGCTCGAGCACATGTGCATCACTTTCAGCTTTGAAGCTCAGGGGTCCGGCCTAAGGGACCCATGTCGTGTTCTAACCTGAGGTCACTTTCGTAGGAAATATGGTCGGTGCGGACCGTATCTTCCAACCATTTTTATACAAATCACGACAAAAATTCTTATCATGTTGTTACACTAAGGAAACGTTTGGTTAGCAGAATGAAATTTGGTGGAATTGAAATCTATCAAAGAAATTTGACTTTGAAAGAATTGGAATGAAATTTAACCACGTGCTTGTTTGGTTGGATGGAATTCAATGGAATTCAAAATATTTCTACATTGTCAATATCTGAACCATTGAATCTCGAAAAGGAAATAACTAGATTCAAACAATACATACATTACATCGTGGACATCAGTTAAATAAAAATCCGACTATTTGATCGGAACTAAAACTCAGATCCAGCCAGTGGCTCATGAGAACGACCAATAAATATGAGCTCATAGATGAGCCCAGCAAAACCACCACCAATGATGGGTCCTGCCCAATAAACCCAGTGGTTGGTCCAGTCCCAGCTAACAACGGCCGGACCAAATGCCACTGCCGGGTTCATTGATGCACCCGTGAATGCACCACCGGCTAAAATGTTAGCACCAACGATGAAACCAATTGCAATGGGTGCTATTGTGCCAATGTCTCCCTTCTTTGGGTCCACCGCCGTGGCGTAAACGGTGTACACTAGCCCGAAAGTCATCACGATCTCGAACACAAACGCATTCCATACCGACACCTCTGCAGCCAACGCAAAACCGGCTGTTGTCTGTACCATCATTCATCAATAAAACCGCCGATTAACACAATCAAATTAAGGGGGTGTTTGGGATGGCTTATAAAAGCTGTTTTTTAACTTATTTCAGTCTGACATTGGTGATAAACTGTTTTATGGTGTTTGGATAAGGAAAAAAAAACTGCTTATACCGGTGCCAAACCGGTAATAAGCTGTTTTTGATAAGTTAATCTTTCATGACTTATGAAAAACTGTTTATTAACGGTTTACAATTTTAACCCTGTTTTATTTAACTCCGATTTCATACCACATAAGTTAATAATCACTTTTACAAAATTAGCATTTTATTTTCTTTTAAACAAATTAAATGAAATTCAGTAAGATTTAAATTGTGCTGCTTACCAAACCGCCGGTGGAGAACAGGAGGAGCAAGCAAGCTACCACCGACCCAAGAAGCTGGGCAATTATGTAGAAAATGCCACGGAGCAAAGTGATGTTACCGCCGACGAAAGCACCGAAAGTCACGGCGGGGTTGACATGGCCACCGGAGATATTAGCTGCGATTGACACAGCCACAAACAACCCAAAAGCATGGGCTAGAGCGGCCGCCACCAATCCAGCCGGAGTGTTTGCAGCACCATCGGTGAGCTTGGTGAACGCCATTCCGGAGCCTTGTCCGGCGAACACGAAGATGAGGGTGCTTATGAACTCTGCAACAAACGCCTTGATGGCGCCGGGATGTTGCACCTCATCTTGGTACCGGCCGACGGCGATGCGTTCGACGAAGTGTGGCCGCGTCGGCATTGTCGGAAATTGAAGAAAGTGGGTTGAAATGAGTCACGGCGGGAGTAGGCATGGGTGGCCGGTTGTTTATATCGGCGAGTGATGGCCTTCGGATTACAGGGTATAGCCGGTTGCCGGTTGTATTTTGGGGGATAATGATTACCTATTTTCTTAATATTTGCTTGAATGCCCCCAAAGTTTTGGTTTATCAACATTTAACTCCTTTGTAGTTCCTCCCCATAAAATATGAAGGATGATAACTACTTTTGGTCCAATTTTAATTTGCCCATATAATTACCATTTTTTGGGTTTTTGTTTTCTTGATTTAGGGGTTGTTTACTAAATATTTGCATGATAAATATGAATCGGGTAATTTTTCTTACCTGATGTACATGGCAAGGGCTGAAAATATTATCCGATAAGAGTGATAATAGGGATAGAGAGTTTTACCCGGTAAGTGATTGTGAGAACTCTTACATGGGTAAGCGTTTACCGGGTAGATTGTTGCATATGATACCGTTTTAATATGCTACAATCTTATCTGGTAAAATAGATTATAGTGTCGACTCCAACTAGTAAGCGCTTACCGGGTAAATTGTTACATATGATACCGTTTTAATATGCTACAATCTTATCTGGTAAAATAGATTATAGTGTTGACTCCAACCAATAAGCGCTTACCGGATAAATTGTTGC